TAATAATAATAATAATAATAATAATAATAATAATAACAACAACAACAACAACAAAAATATATCAAGCAAACTGAATAAAATGAGACATTCGGTGAACCCTGTGAAAACGTCTCACCTGTCTTCTTCTGCAAGTGCGCTTCGAGACCAGTGTCCTGTGCCGCTGTATTGCTGCAGAGCAGTGGACAGAGGACACACAAGGAGAACAGCACACGACATCCCAACATCCTCTCTGGCTTCCCCGGTGCACGCCACCACAGCCGATGCGAGCATGTAGATCTATCAGTGCAACACTGTCTCACCAGTGGCTTGCTTAGCCTACGGCGCCAACCACTCGAATAATGTTAGCCTTTGTTGTGGGTGTAATTGTTTCGTTTATTTAGGGTGAACGTTTTTAATTTACTGTATTGCACATTATATTATTATAATTTGGGTACATCTTTTGTTGTGGTGACCTAAACTGCTCAGTATAACTTTCTTTTTTTTTCACTCTCCACTCTTTTAATGGCTTTTATTTACACAGGTCTGGAGAAAATTCTAAAAATATTGGTTAGCCTTACAGCCACTACTTTTTGTATGCTATGAAAAGTTATGTGTGATAACAAACGTATTAAATTGATATGACAGTGTGCTCAGTTAAGACGCATTTGATCCTCGTTGAAACACGTGGGAGAATTGGGCGTGGGTTATGAGATAAATTTGATCCTGTACGTCGTTCAAGTGAATGTCTTTTTACAAAACGTTTCTTCCTATAAAGTCCGATAAATTCACAGTTCAGAATGGTCGTCTCCGTGTTGACAACCTCCAGGATATGACTCAAAAGTGTGCCTGTCAGGACTTGGCCTACTAAACAGTTTTTTTTTCTTCTCACAATTGTATTGAGCTTTTGCCAAGAACAGGTTACGGGGGACAGATCCAGGCTTCCACAGTTTTCAAAACTTGAAAGGTGTGTTTTGGGCGTCTTGCATGAGTTTGATGACATCGATTTAGAATGTTCCACAACATGGCCGTAAACAGTTTTGTCTGCTACTGTTAGCTTTCCAGTTGTTTACATTCTGTGAGATAATTATAGATTATGAATACGTTTGGCACTGTTAAAAGGAGTTAAGAGAGCCGTATGATGAAAAGCGTCAAAGTTTCTATGGAAAAAAGAACAGCTATATTGTTCAGGTTTCATTTGCGAATACAAACTCTTTTAGGGGAAGTCCAATTAGTCATTTAATATTTTCTGGCTATTCAGTTTTCTAGATTAGTCCTGTAAAGCCAGTTAACTGTTTGTATTGCCCTCACTAATTACTGTCGAGTGTACTTACTTTACAATGAGATATCCTGTCTCAATTCCGCGCATAATCTACGAGAACTTGAATAAAAAAAATGTGTAAAGAAAACGAACACAGCGAGGAGTTCCAAATACACACGATAAACAAATCAAGATGCGTTCCTGGCAAACGAACGATCAAATATATCCATCAATTTCCACGTGGCTTTACGAGAGAATTCCCTGAAGCCTTGTGTAGAATTACTGGCTTGAGATCATGAGCAAGAGTTGGTGATTTGAGTCGAGAGAGTCTAACCCAAGGGGCGGGCAAGCGAACAGAGAAAAAAGAAAGGTTTTGTAAGGGAAAGGTTTACACAATCAGGTGTGAACGCTTTCGCGCGCTCACGAGAAAGAAAGACAAACAATAGATGGTCGAGGAGAGGAGGAGGAGGAGAAGTAAGGAGGCGGAGAGTTGGCGAGGGGGGCGGAATCGAGGGCTCTTCGTCGCGATTCTTGGCTTTGGTGTGTATGGGTCACGTACTCGATTCTTTCGCACTTCCAGGAGCGAGTCCAAAAGGTTAGTGGAGTACCGTTGAGGAAGTGCCGAGTGCCGAGGCAGCCCCGGGGAACAACGCACAACAGAGCAGATGGAAGAAAAAGCTTGTCTGGCAACAGGTAGCTGTAGTGTTGTCTAAAATAAGATATGAGGTAATGTGTGGATTAATCGTGAACAGTGTCCATAATTCTCAAAAGACGATTGTTGTCAGCATAGGCAGGCTGTTCTAACCAGGGTGGTAACAAAGATCTCGGTTAAACGTTGTAGACTGAAGTCTGTCGTGCAACTTTCCTATGTTGCTTGTAGACTTACAATACATGCGTTAGCTCGATTCTCACATGCGAAAGTCATTTATATCCAATATGTACAATTTCTGCTGGGGTACTCTATCCCATTTAGCCTGGGTTGACCCGAAAAAGGGGGTAATACTGCCCTCCTCTTAGATAGTCTAAATTATGCCAACATGTTTGAAAACCAATCAAATTTAAACAGCAGAAGCTGCAAATCAAATCAGAGACGTGCAGAACACATTCTAGAACTCTAAAAGAATTATAATTCTCTGCTTTTATATTATTTTTCTATTTGATTACGCCACAGACATGGTCATTACGTTTCAGACATAATTTCATGTAAAGCAAACAATGTAAACGTGTTCTTATTGAACATCACACGTTTACGTACTTTCCCAGAACGCCTGCTTGCACCTCTTGCATTGAAACCACCTTGTCCAATACAGGTAATTAATCTTTGCCAAAGCGGTCCCACATGTCTGCTGGCTGTCTACATCATTTTACGCTCTCCTGGCTTCGGTTCTCTGTTTTGTTTTGTTTATGCTTTTTTTGTTTTGCAGTGTGTCTGCATGGTACTGTATTGCTTTCTTTTATCATTTTTGTGGAAGGGTTTTCCCTGTTGAAGAAAAAAAGCTGATCTGTTTATGCATGTAGTCTGAAGTGTGAGGACGCAATGGCCTAGTTCAGCACAGCAGCAAATACATACGAAAATCTTGTTAATAAGATATGGGTTTATCCGACAATCTCAATTAACGTTTATATTTGTGACCAATTGAAAAATAAGGCGATTTGGAGTAATCCGTAATTTCGAAATTTTTTTGGCGAATTCTCAAGGTACAAAATAATGCAATACTTAGTTTCCGAAGAGACGGAGAGTTTAATGCAATTTTGAAGGGCCCTTCGTGCTTAGCACAAAGAGCCAATTCTGGTTATACCGGTAATTTATTTATCAAATTTCTAGACCCGCTGCTTATCTCTGCTTTCAGAGGTATTAGGCCCCTATGACTAATTTATGAAACATTTAAGAGTTTTACAGCGTTGTAAGACACATATTGCTCACGGCACTTCAGGAAAGATTATTGTAATTAGAAACTTGAATTTCGGCCGAAAATTTATTCTACCTGCATTTACTTGGGTTTTTTTTTCCATTTCAGATGAACTCTTTTCTTCATTTTGCACATTGCACCTTTGACATTGCGCATTGTTCAACGTCTGCCTATGCAAGTTCTCGATGCACAGCAAAGTCGGCGGAATAACATTTGACAGTGTGCCCCCAATTACACAGTGGCGTGAAACTGGCGAGACGTTGAATCTTTGTTCAGACAAGCAAGAAAAGCCTGGCCTGGCGCCGTCAACATTTTATTGTTTTCTTTGTTAATCTGGAGCATTTGTGGACCCTTTTGTTTCTCTTTCCTTTTCTTCTTCTATCGAGTAGGGCGCTAGTTTGTACATGTAGAATACGCATTATTTTGTTTAGATCATGAACTAAACAACCGGCATAATTTAGTCCAATATTTTTGCCAAAGGCCTGATACTTACAAAAAAAAATAATCTTAAAACGCACCTAAGAGTTGGGTGTTAGCGACATGGGCGGGACGCGGAAATCTTTTCATTATGTACTCATATCCCTATGTGCGTGTTTTAAATGCAATGAATGTATGTACTTGTATCCCGGCTATTCCACTGTAAATGACGGGACATTTTGACTAGATCTATACTTTCTTACAAAGATAACGCTGTAATTCAATATCAATTTATTTATTTCAACTTTAAATGATCAGAATATTTGAAAGGCATATGAAGAACCATATTGAATGCAGTCATTAATATAAAAAAGAATACTTTATGCAAATTCTGTGACGTGCTTAGTTTCGGTAACTGACGGAACAAATGAGATATTTTTTTCTGTCCCGTCAGTTACTGTGGAATAGCCCATTAGAAAAAAAAACCCCGGGACTTGACACTCTCCGTTGCCCGGTGCAACTAGATCTATTGTTGTTGAATATACGACCTGTGGAGATTTTCTTGTTGTTGCAGCTTTTAGTTGTGGCTTGCTGTCAGTTCTGTCAGCTCATTTCGTAAACTGTTGACCCCAATTCAATTCCCCAACGAGATTTCTTTTGTTTTGGAGAGTTTCCGTGGTTCACATACAACTTTGATGGATCCTATAAGAGCTACATGTTACAAAAGGAGGGTCCCTACCTAAAAAGTAATACAAAACAAAACCTTCGCTATTTTGAAGGTGACCTTTAATCCACCTTACCATGCCATTCACTCTTTATTCTTTTTATTTTCTTATCGTTCTTTAAAACTTTTGCTTTGCAAAAACTGGTGCAAGAGACATGAAACCAGTCAGTGGTGTACCATTTAGCATGTCACATCTGAAACGCTTCATAATTCATAGTAGCTTACTCTGTAAATAAGGTTTTATTTGACCCCCCCCCCCCCAAAAAAAAAAAAAAGACGTATAATATAAGTGTTATTATGGCTCTGCGTTCAATTATAATTAAAAAAAAAAAGAGATCCATTTCAGAAGTACTCTTTTGTTCTGGAAAGAAGCCACATCTTCCTTGCATTACGTCAAGTGTTTTTGGAGGAAACCTCGGCTTAGGCTGTTTTGAACTCAATATCCTCGATGCCGGTTTGAAGACACAGCTTTCAGGAAACAAAAATATAATCATATTATAAAATCTAGAATATGGTTTATTTCAACACCTCATTTCAAAAACAGCTTTGCTAAAAAAAATAATTAACATTCCTGTTATGTAATAACGTATTGGCGCTTTAGAATTCATAAAACCCTGTACAACGGACAGGTTTAACTTCTTTTGATCTGAAACACAATAAGAAACGTCAGGCAATAGGCACTCATCTAAATGATGAGCCGGATACGCAGTCAATCGACATGATTCGTTTGTGTGGGTACACAATCCAGTACTCGTTAGTAGGCGTTTATCTAGCTTTACAACGAGTTTGGAACATGGAAGCCAGTTTGCATAGATTGTCTCGCTGCTCCAAAAGGTGGGGTTGAAAAAAAGGGGGGTACGAATTAACAAATGACTGAAGTGAATGGCGACCAGTAGTCCGTTAGTGGTGAAAAGCTATGTACCAGAAGGCCATTCACTCTTACACCCCATGACCCTCACTGAAGACGCTCCAAAACAAAAATTGAATCCATATAGATCTAGACCATTTTCTCAAACCAGTCGTTGATCCGGATCGTGTCTGAACTCTCTACTTAGTTTTCTTTACTTTACTCTACACAACGTTACTTTACTTTATCGTTCTCTTGTAACATTAGATGTCGAAGAGAGGTGCAGTTTTCGGTCAAGGGCTAGGTTGGTGTCTTTTATTGTTGATATATTGAGTTGGGTTGTTTTTTGTGTGGGGGGGTTGGGGGGGGGGGGGGGTGAGGACTCTCTTCTACTCTTTAAAGATCCGGAATTATCCAGTTATTGCTAAACTGGACGACCTGATAATCGACATAGTTTGAAACCGGGTCAATGCCCAGCCCCTACCTTCACGTTCAAGTGGATTTCACCCACTCAACCTGGTTGACCTTTCACCAAACACACAGACTCAAGACTTGTACTCTCCTCGGGTCAAAGTCAACAACAGAATAGCCACTGTACCAAAAGATCAAGACAACGGTCTAAAACTCTTGTTAAACCGTGATGCTGAAGGATAAAGTTCACTATCGTGTGCTTGCTTTGTTAGAGATCAACACTGTGCCTTCACATTGAAAATTCAAATAGCTTTATGTATACGCACTCGGAATAATTAAAGAAAATGCTCTTGATTTTTGTCGAATCGTAAGTGCTTTGGGTAAGATTGACTAAGGACATGATGGATTTGGTTTATCCGTGTCATCACGATCTTTTGAATGATGAAAAAACCCACCGTGTTCCTGAAGAGTATGTTCTTTAAATGCCAACCGTGATTAGAATTAAAGGGTTTAAATACAAATAACAGAAAGTGTTCCCTCGCCCTTTCAGTGACCTTCGATATGTACTAAAAATAAACTGAACTGACTTACAATTTAAAAAAATCTCCGTCATCCAAGTTAGGACAGCAATTTACTTAATTCTTTTCGCTTTGTTTTTTTTTTTTCAAGGTGAGTACGAAATCCTCAGAATTTAAAATCATTTTTTAAGATAACAAAACAGACACGTCTTGTTTAGTGAAGCTCTGAAACTTAGACAAACTTTCGCATTTTCCCCTTTTCTGAATGCAAAGCGTAAAAAATTGAAAAGGAATACACCATTTTCTAAATTAATGATGTATGGGAAAAATTGTTATGTTTAGACAGCGACCTTCCCATTCATTTAAGGTTTGTATTGCATAATCATGCAACTTATGGTGGTGGAAGTAGGGTTAAGAGAGCTCTGAAATTTTACAAATCAAGAGAAGTTGAAGGTTGCTCGAGTTAGGAATAGAACAAGGTCTACCCGCACTGCAGCCAAACTTAAAGACAGAAATGCAACTGAGCACACACACCCCCAAATACATAAATAAATAAATAAATAAATAAATAAATA